ACAATAATTACACACCTTTACATATAATCTTGATCAAAAATAGTTTCACATTTCAAAATGTTACTTGAGCAAGGGAGTTCATCGAAATCCTAGCTTTAACTCTGCTAAAACTATATGAATACTGAAAATAATTTAATAATATTCTGTTATAATTATATTCCATATACGTAAACACTGTGTTCTGTTAATAAAAAAGTTTAATTATAGGAATCATATTCAGCTAAAGCTTATGTTTCTAACGGTGGTTAGCCTTCGAGTTTGAAATGCGTTCTCTTCAGATGTGGTAGATGCAACTTTAAAGTGAAAAGTTTGATAAATATTTGAATGATAATGGCTGAATTTGAGTTTAGTATAGAATATGGTACAGTCTAGACAGACAAATAGGTCCCTTGTTGTCTTTAAAATTGTATTTATCATTTATGTAGTCTTGATCAACAGCGTAGAAAATAACATTTATAAGTTTATATAAGGGTGACATAGGCCTACAACTACAAATCACAGCTTGTTCAGTGTTGTTATAATATACATGTACGTAACACTAACAGTGCAATGGGCCAGTGACACGTTGTCTAGTCAAGCCTGTATCCCAACTTTAAAGTTTAATTAACAATTAAAAGTTAAATCTTTATTTATCTAGCGTTCTGCTACTGCTAAAAATTGTAAAATTTAATGCTGTTTTAATTTTATAAATTACATATTCTTTGATTGTTTAACTATAGTTCGAACACTTAGGAAAAAGTGAAAAAATTAAAAAGGACAAAACGATAGGTCATATCGAAGATTTAATAATATATAGAATATTAATATTTAGTATATTTAATTGGTACTACTAGTAGTAATATTCAAAATTTAACTCCCATTCCCACTTTACTACCTGAATATCTTCTAGTTCTATTTTCGCATGCAATATCCACTGCAGATGACTGATAGAAATAAAAGAAAAAATTTTAAAATATTCATATTTATGAAGTTTTAAAAGTCTTATACATACTCAAATTGTTGAATTTTTGGAGCCACGTGGAATAAAAAAATATAATAAAAATTTCAATCAGTCTTTAATTATAAGTAGGATGGGTCAAAATCTGGTAACATGACACGATAAAAAACAAGAATTTTTCTAAAATAACACAATAATAACTTTATTAGACAGAAATTCTAATTCTGAGTAAATTTACATAAGAAATTATTTTGTGTATAATTATAATAACTAATTAAATGTGTAAAAATAATATTAATTTTTATTTCCGATAAGAGTAATAAATTATGTTTCGAAATGTCAAGATACCTTGCGACAATAATTATATATATTAGGCAAACTGTCCATTTGTTTGCGTAATAATTTGAAATCAAATAGAAGATCAAGAAACGAAATGGCAAAAACGAGAGCTATATCAACGTGAAAATTTTTCTAGTAATTGATTTAAACTTAAATTTCTAAATGCTGTTGAACTAGCCACATTAACTTTTAATTACTGTTTTAAACATCATTTTCCAAATGATTTACTTAATAATTGTTTTTAATCCTGTTATTTCTAAAAGAAAAGCTAGCTCTCATTTCTAATTTTTGTTTTGGGACTAGAACTTCAAGTTTGTGCCGGGCCAATAACTCTATTTTTATGTTTAGATATTTTATTAAGCTTCTCACATTGGCCAGGAACTCAATGCATTTTAGCTGATTTTGCTTAATATAAAATAAACTATATATGTATATATATATATATAATAAATAAGCTGCATTATTGTTTTCATTCGGTAAAAATGCTGCAAAAGATTAGAAAAAGTGTATTAAATTAGAAAAAAAAGATGTGTTTACCGTCAAAGTTATGACTCATTTTAGAAGTTCTACATACTGGTATAAAAAAATTAAACAAATTTTGTAGGAAGTTTTATCATACATAATGCCGTGAGGTGACGCTCTGAGTATTGTTGATATTCTGTGAATTGCACGTTGGTGAGTGGTTCAAAATTATTATTTTTGGAATTGTTTTTTATTTATTATTATACCATAGTACTTATATTAACAAAGTTCTTTTTACGTCATTTAGTGTCTTGAATTAATTCCAAGTAAATTATTCAAGAAAAATTGAAAATGTGATACGCTGACAGTGACAGGTTAAGTTAGGTGAGGGAGTATACTATAGTGTATATGACTTTCGATCGGACAGTTACGTAACGAATGAAATTGAAACGTTAGAATATGATTAGACTGCCGCACATCATAAATATTTAAAATAAAGAAGTTATTAGAAAAAGGTAAGATAAGCCTATTTCGCTGAAAGTGAAAGGCTGTCTTACTCTTAACAAAACATTAAAAAGTTCAAAGTGTTAATAAGTCAAGTATATAACTTACAAATTTAGCATTTCTAAAAGGTAAAAGGATCGTTTAAATTACAGAACGCACATTTTTAGTTGACAAAATTTTTCTTTTTTGTTATGTTAAACCATTGTGATAACACTGTTTTTGATCTTTATGTAAGTGTTAGGCCAATAAATACTTGTATGGGAGTATTGATTCCCAGTTGTTTGTTTTTATTTGAATTTTTAAATCAGCAGCAGAGTTGCGTTAATTCAGTTCTTAATCTTAGTTATTCATATTTTTTTCAGATCTTGAAAAATTGTGTATCCAAAATGTTGCAGAGGTTTGGAATTAGAATTGCATTTATGACTAGAAGCTTGAAGGACTCTGTACTTCAAAAAGATTCAACAAGAAGATACCTTGTTACTCAGCTTGAAACAACAGCTTCCAGTATGATATATAGTGAACTTTTGATTATTTTACGTAGTTATATATAGCAATTATGTACTGTTTAATTGTTTCAACTATAATGTTGAATTGTTTGATTTTGGTCTTATTGCTGTGTTACGTAAACTAATTCCACTGTGACATTTACTTCAAGATATTTCTTAACTATGTTATTCTAATAAATAACTTATTTATGTATACTGACCATAAAACAGTTACAAGTAATTTATAATTAACAGTATTGAAGGAGCACTAACCTAGAAGCATGGGTTGACCTTAATTTTAATGTTTTTTAAATTAATATATATATATACCAATATTTTCTGTGTTCCAAAGAAATACTGGAACAAACTGATAATTGAAATTTAAATTGTGTTTAATTTATATCGTTATAGTAAAAAGTAGCTGTATGTCGATTGTATTAGGTAGGAGTTACAAAAAACTTAAAATTGAAGCTTATTCCTGCTTCTTTTCTGGGCCTGACCACTTTTAAGGGTTTAACTCTTAAAAGCCCACGTGTTTCAATTCAATGCACAATGCAACTGTTATATGGTTTGTTTTATTGTATTAAAAAAATACTGCATGAAATTGTTTGAAATTTCAAATGAACTTTCAGGAGAGTACATAGTTTATGTAGAATATGTTGTTGTTTTTTAGGGACATTTGTATGAATTCTTAACTTGGAAAGGTCAAAGATTTTATTTTTATACATTTTTTTATGAAATACTTACCTTTATTGTAGATTTAAGTTACAGGATTTTGTCGTGGTATATTCTAATAAAGCTTTCCATAAAAGTTTTTATCCTATAAAACTGTAACTTTTATCATTTGTTTTGATCCAAAAAACACCGCTTGTAGTTCCACCGACGATCACTGGTGTACAATAAAAATAACTTTACCACACCAAAATATTTAGTCAACTGATTTTTTAAAATTATAAATCAAAAGGTTTCATTTACTTTATGTTATAAGTTTTAAACTGGTTTTATATTTATTTATTTCTGTGATTTTTTTTCTGCCAATTCGAGCAATAACTGTAAACCGACAAGGCCTAACAAAATATGATATGGTCAAGTGCAAAATGGTCTATTTAAGCCCCCCCCCCATCTTATTCCAGGAAAATATTTCCTATTATACTGAAACTTTATAATTCAAATGAAATATAGGATGATAAAGCAAGCTTACAAAAAAAATAAGGCTTCTAAAATCTTAGATACAGGCAAATACTACACACCATGACAACTTAGCTTAAGTGATTAATAAAACAACACTTCTATTAAAGTTACAATGTCAAAATTAGTGCTGTTTTGTTCAAAAGTTTTTTGACTTTCCTCTTAGAGGCTATGAGTGTCATATTATTATTATATTAACAGTTCAAGTAATTCAGAACATCCTGAAGCAAACCAAAATCAAAATTTGTAGTTAAAAAAAATGTGTAGAATTAAATATATAAAACTTTATTGGATCAGTTTTAACTGTAGTCATTGAAGATTAACTACAAGGTTATTTTATTTAAAATTAAAAAATGTTGTTTTTTAGATGATGCATTTTTTCTATCCATTTTAGCTGTTTTTGAATTTTCAATTTTGGTAGAGTGTGGGATACGTCCAACATTTATAAGGTTATTTTATATTTTTAATTCAAAGTTGTAATGTTGCCCTCTGGGGAGAATAAAAGTAGTTTGGTGGCATAAAGATGTCAACACCAAAAAAATTGTGGCTTGAGTTTTCAGTTTAATTTTCTACATCTGAATGAATATGATATAAATAGACAAGGTGACATAATTCCATTCAGTCTGAATGTTAATTCTGTGAATATATGTATATATTTTTTTAATATGCATCTCTAAAAGCTTAACTTACCCTAAAAAGAAAGTTGTCTCACCATGTCTTATAAATACTTAAAAATTTCAAATCTGCTATTCTTTCAGCAATAAATACACATTTAATTAAGCCTGCTCCAAATGTGTTTTTGTTTGTTTTCAGTTTTAAAAACTGTTGAACACAAAAATCAAAAGGTACTTTCAAGGTACAGTGTCCTCATTTTTTTTATGCAATTGAAATATTCAGTTATGTGATATTCACTGGTACATAAGTTGATACCTGGATAATTGATGTGGCTACTCACACTATGCAGATTTCTCAGTGCGTGTTAACGAATGAACCTAAATGTCACAGAAACTGTTAGTTCTTTTGCCTTAATATGACGAAACAATAAGTTGTCGAGAGGAATGATGTTAGGGTATTGTAATATTCAAAGTTCATATATAAAGAATAGTACAAAGGGTATTTAAAAAGAAGAGAAACTCTTAAGTGTTTAAACAACAAAGGGTTGTGTTTTCACATTCAAAGGATTATCATCAGAGCCTTCTGTGAGTAATATGGAGGAACTGAAGAAGGCAACACGGGAGGGAAGGGTTGATCTTGAATATAGGCCTCTCTACTTAGATGCCCAAGCTACGACACCTCTGGTGAGTGATAATTTTTATAACTGCTAATTGATATGAAGTTTGTTTTGTTTTTTTATTTAGCCATATTACTTTTATTATTTTCATATATATGCATACACAGGTATATGAGAATGTATGTGAAATTGAATAAAAACGAGGGAATCCTCAATAGCTGTGGCACTTGAAATTCTTTTAGGGAGGATTAGAGTAAATTAATCTACGAGACCTTGTTTTTCCTTTTTATTAGCTATATTTTTGTGTGCCAGCAATACCTGGTGTGGAACTGGTGTATACCCGATTTGACTTTGTTACTCATCAGGATCTCTACCAGCTTACCCTTAAATTCAAATTCTTTTGGACAGGATTAGAAGAAATTAATCTATGTGACCTTGGGCATGGTCAAATACACCAATTGAAAGGGTTTGACCTTCTGAGTCCAAAACTGTAATTAGATCTCAAATCGGTAAAGAGATGACGGAGCTATGGACTAAAAATTCATACTTGAAAAACTTGGAGCCATTTTATGAGCCATGGCTAAAGATTCTAGATTGCAGACAAGTTGTTCTTTTCCATTGTCACTTAATTATTTAGTTTACATTAAGGAGAATTATATTATCTGAGTACCTGTCTTGCATTATGAAATCTTTATTTTTCAGAAGTTTAGTAGAAATGTTGCATCAGCTATAGGTATTTGTTTATGGATGATGTAATAAGGCTGTTCTTTCCATTTTTCAGATTTGGTGTTCTTGAAATGTGTTCTTTGGCATGTTTCCTTTATAATCAGTTTCTCATATTTATGAGTGTTTTCCTTTTTTTTTCTTTGATTAAATAATTGACACTTTAAGGTATTTTTATGTGTGAGTGGGTATCAGTTAAATCCTGCTACAATTTTCATTAAAGTTTTTTCAAATATAGTAGATATTTTTGTATATTTTGAGGACGTGCAGTGTATGAAATTTTTGTATCTCTTCTAAAACTTCATTCTGTTCTGACATGGGCACATGGATTGCAAGCGAGAACTTGTTTAAACATGTTCAGATTGTTATTTTAATGGTTTGTAAAACAAAATTTGAAATGACAAAAAAAAAAACGATTAAGTGCTTGTAGTCTGAAATTAATATCCACAGACTTTGTTTTTATCTATCTTTTGATTGTGTATTGTTCTTGCTCACTGGTACACCTGTCTTCATTTTAAATGACATCAGTAACATAAAATTTTGGGATAACATGGGATTTATTGGTCCATCTTGGCTGTTCCATCCTCTAAACTAAATTAAAATAATTAAAAAAAAAATCTTAAAGCCAGGCCTTATCATCCACATACTTATCAAGCTTTTTCTTAAACTTACTTAAATTTGCTGCCTCCACAACGTCTGAAGGC